TCTGGCATGCACTGTATACATGATAAATAAATAAATCTTAAAAAAAAAAGAAAAAGAAAAAAAAAGCATTGCTTCAGTTACTTGCCACTTCAGTCTAGGGCTCCTGCGCACTGACAAGCTGCGAGGGCTTTGGTCCTTTCATCCATAGGTATTTGTGGGGCACCAACTACGTGAGGCGCCTGGTGGAGAATAGGAGAGGAGGTGGCAGAGGAGCCAAAGCAGAACCGGGCCCCTCAGCTTAAATGCCTGGAATTGTGGATGTAATTAATACTATATGAATTCATATTGAGAGTTTAAGGCGCGCGAGGTGGGGAGGGGTGACCTGGAAAAAGAAGGCCTCATATATATTGAGAGTTCGCAATTGGAGTCCCATCTCTAAAGGCTAGTCCTGCACCAGGCCTGCTTGCATTGCACAGTGTACTGGATAGTTTTATGTCAACTTGACACAAACTGAAGTTATCTGAGTGATGGGAACCTTAATTAAGAAAATGCTTCCACAATGGCTAGCTGTAGGGCATTTTCTTAATTAATTATTGGTGTGGGAGGGTCCAGCCCATTGTGGGTGGTGCTATCCCTGAGTTGGTGGTCCTGGGTTTTGTAAGAAAGCAGTCTCTGCAAGTCACCAGGTGGGAGTCAAGTTTCTCCTTGGTGTCTGCATCAGCTGCTGCCTGCAGGTTCCTGCCCTGACTTGCTTTGATGGTGAAGGTGATGTGGAAGTGTAAGCAGAATAAACCCTTTCCTCCCCAACTTGTTTTGGTCATTTCATCGCAGCAACAGAAACCCTAAAACACACAATATCTCCTTACTCCTCCCAGAGATCTGAAGATGCTGAGCTCAGAGACAGGCAGCAATTTCAGTTGCACATTCAGGGATAGAAGTCAGAAGGCCCAACCTAAAATCCTTTTGCTCTTTTACAAAAAAACCAAACAAAAACCACAAAACAAATCAAACTATCAGGGAGGATGAGTTATTCATAACTGAAAAGGCTGAGAGGAGTATGAACTGATGGATAAATTTGTTTCTGCTTTGGGCTGAATGGATAGCTAGGAGGACAGTACCAAACAGCTTCATTCATTCAATGGGGTCTGAGTCAAAGCTCTGGCTTCCTGCCCAGATCTAGTGGACACTAAGTAGTCTGTGGCCTTTGAGCCAGAAGGCCAATTTCAGAAAGTTCTCTTTTTCTTTAGTTTACAAAACAAGGAAACACACCCACCTGCTGGTTAAAGCCCTCTGAAGTTCCATCAGGACTAGCTGAGTCAATGGTCATTCTTTGGTCATTATTTCCCTCCTTGGGGCTAAGCAAGGGTATAGGGTTAACACGAGTGATCACTGACCACAGTGTTTGGGAATAGGCCACTCCTAGTCAGCTGGGGTAGCATGTTGTATTTTCCAAAATGGCTATGGCAGTCAAAATGCCATGGAGCCAATCATGGTGCTACACACTTGTAATTCCAGCACTTCACAGGTGGAGGCAGGAGGAACAGGAGTTCAAGGTCATTCTCTGTTACAAGGCACCTTTAAGGTGAGCCTTGGCTGCATGGGACCTTGCCCCGACAAACATCAAACCTAAAACACTGGTAGTGTTTCTTCCAGAACTACTCCCATCAAGACACTTTGGCTTGTGTTGTCAGAGCCTGTAACTGCATTGACCAGTGGAGTGTGGTCGATGTGATACCATGTGACTTCCAAGGCTAGGTTATTTAAAAAAAAAAAAAGTCCAGCTTTATTGGAAGGCTCCTGTAAAAACCAGGTCACCATGTGGTGAGAAAACCAGGCTACCCAGTCTCTATCTGTGTACGTTCTGGCTGACAGTCTCTTTGAGATCCCAGACAGCAGCTGGCCTACTCAGGTGGTTCCAGGTGCTACTTTTGAGTTTTCCAGGAAGAGAGTGATGAGGGGGCTGAGTAGGTTGCCCCACTAAGTCATAGCCAAATTTCAGATTCATGAGCAAAACCAATTAGATCACTGTATTGTCACTGTATTAGGGTTCCTTGTTACATAGTCAATATGGTTGTGTGTGTGTGTGTGTGTGTGTGTGTGTGTGTGTGTGTGTGTGTGTGTGCTCGATCGCGCATTGGAGTTTTGCCTTCATGTATGTCGGTGTGTGAAGATCTGCCATGTGGATGCTGGGAATTGAACCGGGGTACTCTGGTAGTCAGTACTCTTTTTTTTTTTTAAGATTTTATTTATTTATTATGTATACAACATTCTGCTTCCATGTATATCTGCACACCAGAAGAGGGCACCAGATCTCATAATGGATGGTTGTGAGCCACTATGTGGTTGCTGAGAATTAAACTCAGGACCTCTGGAAGAACAGTCGGCGCTCTTAACCTCTGAGCCATCTTTCCAGCCATCTTTCCAGTAGTCAGTACTCTTAACTACTGAGTCATTTCTCCAGCTCACAGTCAATATCTAATAACAGTAATTTTTGTTTAGTGGTGATTTCCATTTGAAAGATGAATAAATGATAGAAACAGACTCTTGTCAAAGGTTTCCATGCTATTATTGACAGGTGATATGATGTTTGAGGCCAATGTCTGTTTTATCTTTGCATTTCCGTGAAGGACCTTCTCAAAACACACAGTAGAGAGGAATGGCATCCTATAACCCCCAATAACCCCAACCCAACAAATAACCAGATTATAAGTTGCCTTCTCTGTTTTCAGCCACCTTCTTCTACACTGACTTGTTCTGAAGCAAATTCCTATACACATCTTATCATTCATTTCAATTTCAAATATTTCAACATTTACTTCTAAAATAAAGACCAGCTTTGTTACACTGATCTCCACGCCTTCAATGTATTGATGCAGTGGGCTGTGGTAGTTTGGATTTTTTTTTTTTTGAGACAGTTTCTCTGTGTAGCCTTGGCTGTCCTGGAATTCACTCTGTAGATCAGTGTGGTCCCGAACTGGGAGATCTGGCTGCCTCTGCCTCCCAGGTGCTGGGGACTAAAGGGGTGTGACACTACTGCCCAGCTGAAAGGGGTTGTTTATTTAATTCAGGATTCCCAGTAGACTAATGAAACAAAAATGCAAATCAACCTGAAGTATCTATCATGTTGTGGATAAGTGCTAAGTAATTACTTACTTACTCTGCTACTTCACTGTCATCTCCTCTGGGAGACTCCTAACCCCTTGCCCCTCTGTGCTCACCTTAGAATTCACTGACAGTCATGTTGGTTCTTTGTTAAGGTTTACTATAAATAAGTCACTGTTTGAGCGTTCATAAGGATTCAGTGCTGTTCTTCCAGCTGGCCATTCTTTT